CCTGTAGTCCCAGCTACTTGGGAGGCTGAGGCAGGAGACTCGCTTGAGCCCAGGAGTTGGAGGTTGCTGTGAGCTGTGAGGCCACGGCACTCTACTCGGGGATAGCTTGAGGCTCTGTCTCAAAAAGAAAAAAAAAAAACGCAACACCTCTATAGCTATAAGCATTATAATTTTAGCTTCAAAACCATCCAGCCCAGATATGAAAGCTTTTACCACTCAACTCAATGTAGATTTACAAGCTTTAAGAGCTTCTGTTGCCCATTTAGAAAAATCCATAAACTCTTTGCCAGAAGCAATAAACTTTTTTAAGAATGAAAGAACCGGCTCGGTGCCTGTGGTTCAAGTGGCTAAGGCGCCAGCCACATACACCTAAGGTGATGGGTTCGAATCCCCAGCCCGGCCCGCCAAACAACAATGATGGCTGCAAATAAAAAATGTCCGGGCGTTGTGGCGGGTGCCTGTGGTCCCAGCTACTTGGGAGGCTGAATCAGGAGACTCACTTGAGCCCAGGAGTTGGAGATTGCTATGAGCTTTGATGCCATGGCACTCTACCCAGGGGGATAGCTTGAGGCTCCGTCTCAAAAAAAAAAAAAAAAAAGAACGAAAGAACCTTAATAAAACTTTAAAGAAAGCAGATTATAATAATACCAACCAGCTTAAGTTTATAAAGAACACTTTAACTTTAATAAATAATAATTGATATAAAACCTTAGCTATAATAAGACCACTCTTCCGCCTTTTAATCAGAATAGCCAGCAGCCTCATTATGTTTAACCACTTCATAACCCTTGCACCTTTGTCCCCAAACAACTCAGGTAAATTGAAGATTCAATTGCCCATGAAACCAGTGAAGACTGTAATAACCGAGCCCCCAGCCCCTAACCCCCAGGCCCATGTACTTGTGAAGGGAACTTCTCTTAAGCCTTTTAGCCTCAGCTCCCCCTCCTCCCCCTTAAGGGAGGAGAAGTTAAGATCTGGGAAGAAGAAAGGCTTGGCGCCTGTGGCTCAAGTGGCTAGGGTGCCAGCCACATACAACTAAATGGCGGTTTGAATCTAGTCTGGGCCCGCCAAACAACAATGATGGCTGCAACCAAAAACAGCTGGGTGTTGTGGCCAGCGCCTGTGGTCCCAGCTACTTGGGAGGCTGAGGCAGGAGACTCGCTTGAGCCCAGGAGTTGGAGGATTTCTGTGAGCTGTGATGCCACAGCACTCTACCCAGGGGGACAGTTTGAGGCTCTGTCTCAAAAAATAAAAAATAAAAAAAGAAGATAAGGGAAGGAAGGGAGGCAGGGGTGAGCCCTGTGTGAAAAGGGCTGAAGTTGGTTTAAGGCCCAAGCTGTTCTCGGAAATTTACCAATACCTCTCATTTGATGATTTGTGAGTCAATGTGTCTAAAGTTAGCATGTACCTTCACCCTGAATTGTGCAAACCTCTTATGATGCACCCCATCTTATGGTGATGAAGTAATGTGTATGTACCTTCACCTTGCGACCCCGCTCTAACTGCTATGATTGGCTTCTGTATTGCACCAGCTTGCGGACCCTTGCAAATTAATGGTATAAAAAGGCACTCCATCTGCCAATTGGGGCTGATTGCCTTTGAGGTAATCCAGCCCGCTTGCGGGCGTTAATAAATTTTCTCAATTATTACATCAAAGTGAAGTCCACCTTTTTATCTCCATAGCTCTGACACTCTTTAGTGGGACTTAGGTTGGTGAGTTCCAGTGGGAGAGGTTTCTGCCAAGGAGCAGAGACAGGAGAAACTGCCTTACTCAATTTCTCTGCTGTCATCTCTCACCTCAGACTGTGAGCCACATCATGCCATTTCTGTCCCTGTCCCCACAGTGGCTCCAGAGGGCTCCTCCTATCACAGGAAACAGGCTAGGGAAGTGAAAGAAGGGCTTATCTATATCAGCCAAGGACCTGACATCTGGCCTGGCTTGGCCTTTTCCAGGTAGGCTCTCATCCTCCTCACAAGAAAACAGGGTCAGAGAAACAACAGACACTGCCCAAAGTCACACAGCTGGGGCTTGCACCCAGGCCTGGGAGACACCACGCCCAAGTTCTTGGTCATGGCTTTATACTTCTCTGCACCTCCACATCCCCATCTGCAAAATGGAGACACTGATAGGACCTACCCCCAAGGGCTGAAGAGAGGGTGGGCTGAGCACACACCTGTTGCGTTGTTTTGTGTTACCATGCCTGCCAAGCTGATTCAATTATGTGAAAGTAGTTTGGGGTTTTTGTTTTGTTTTGTTTTGTTTATTTATTTTTATTTTTATTTTTATTTTTTTTTGACAGAGCCTCAAGCTGTCCCCCTGGGTAGAGTGCCATGGCATCACAGCTCACAGCAACCTCCAACTCCTGGGCTCAAGAGAGTCTCCTGCCTCCGCCTC